TCTTTACCAACGTTTGCCACCTCGTCCCAACTCCTCTGTCCCCACTCCCCCCCCCCCCCCCCCCCCCCACCCGACACCAATTGAGTTGCACGATCCCGCTCCTTCCCTCTCCCTCTTCACATCTACCTGTGGTGTATTCAACTTTTAGTCTCCACATTTGGGAGAACTAGTTGTTGGACTTAGAAAACCCTGACTTGAAATATATTCACCTTGTTACAAAGTGCATCAATTAGAAATTGGATGACAACCTCAAAGAAAACAAGTGTAGATAACTTTCTAGGTTATACAGATTTTTTAACAACTCTTCGTTGTGAAACACCTAAAACGTTTCCACCTGAAAATAATTTCACGGGCTCTTTATAAGTTACAGCATTTATGTTCATATTAAAGCTGCATAAGTGAGTGGATTACTGATTGTAGAATAGTCAAAATGAGTCTTAAGTTTGTGGACTGTTATTTCCATCCCGAATTTATTGTCGTGTATGCAATTTCAAAAAGTCTGTTTCTCAACGGTTCAAATGCATCTCATCCGTTAGCAATTCGTCTATAACCATAGCAACGTATTACTCTGGTTTATATTAGTTTTGATAAATAACAGCGATGCCTACATTTGATTACAGGACATTTTTTATCTCCTATGATCTCTATTTGATTAAAATCAGCGAATACATCCCATCAATATTTAATCAGTTCATACACCGATATACTCAATCATTTTACCTTACATTTGCTGGTTTTCTCATTTTACTACTTCTCACACATTAATCGCCCATATGACTATTTCACTTAAATCATTTCATATACCAAACATTGTTCAGGTCTTCACTTTTCTCACCTTCTTGTCTGTCGAATTTGTAGAGTACACTGAAGTTTGCAAACATTTCAAGCTTTTCAGTTCTGATGAATAGCCAAGAAGGGAAAAAATAATTTGTTTTCTAGGAAATTGTTTTGTTGTCGTAATTGGTGATCAAATGTGGCATTTCTGGGTAATATGCAGTAAAGTGAAGTATGTTGCTAATGCAATACATGTCTTATCGAAAGACTGTGCTCATATAGTCAGGTATTTCAAAATTTATAGATTTATTTATATCAAATGGCAGGCGTCTTGATGGTTACCATTAGCCCTTTAGTTGACTTCAGTCTTCACAGAGGGGAAGGAACATCAAAGTGGGAAAAAAGTCGAGAGGGGGGGGGGAACAGAAGAGTGCTTCAAAGACGAAGGTAGAAAAGGAGAGGTGAGTACTGTGAAAGTAGTCGAATATGACATACAGTGGGGTGAGGGTAGTTTGAAGTCAGAAGTCAACTGCCAGTTAATAGACTTTTTTGCCGTATGAATATACGTTGCCCAGGGTGCACCACGTGGAGGTAAGTCTATCGCACACCCCAGATTTATAGATTATTTATTCTAAAATAGAATAACAGAATGTATGGTGCAAAGAAAAATATTTTCGGAACTATTTAGTATACCATTTCCCAATTGTTAAATTCTCTCTCTTAACTTGCAGAGAGAGAATTATTCTCCTCAATGGCTAAACCTAAAAACTATTAGTACAATCAGTACCGATTCAAAATGTTTGAGGTTTGTTAGCCTATTACTTGAACGCCACACGATTGACAAGAGCTTGACTAATAGTTTTCATGCTAGCTGTGGTTGCTGAAAATGAGTCTTTCAGTTTAAAGGTTAGTAGATCTCGAACACTTATTAAGTACACAATTGAAGTGTGAATATTGCGAGAGAATGACATTATTACAACATTTCATGTCTGAATCCCAAAGATGACTTCATTTGTTCCCAGACCTGTTTTAAGCCATTGAACATCAAAGAAGGCTTAGAGTAGCACCTTGTTAAGATAAATGTAGATGACACGTATAGATTGTGCATGATCTTGAAAACGAAAATTGCATGTCAAAGCGAATATAATCGCATAGTGCAAAGAGCAAAAAATTACAGATTAGATCAAAGGGAGAACATTTAAGTACACATTTTTCCATCAAATAAAAGAGGTATTTTTAAAGATTATTAGGGGTGGGGGTGGGTGACTGTGTGTGAAGATGGGTGTATGGCCTAAGAAACAGACATCAACGAAGGGTAAAAATAGCACCTTGCACACACTAGGAAATAGACACCAAAAGCAACTTCAAGTCACTAAAATTTCTCAATTCATTATATTTGTAGATACGCATTGTGCACCATTTCCTAAATGAACACTTATGGCTCCAAAATTAAATTTTATTACTCATGAAATAAATTTCAGCCGATGGTGTTCTATCATGCTCAATATCTATAGATTGGTGCTATTTAATTGGAGAGGGTGGGGTGCTCAATAGA